TAAGAAGAAGAATAACATAACCTACAATTTCTACAAATTCGTTTCAGTAAGTAAATTAGTAAAAATTAATTGCATCGTGTGTTCTATACAAAAATAAACAAATTTTACAATATTTGTAGTTTTTAGGACCTATAAGTGATGTTAAAACACAGGATATCCCAAATATTAATTGCCAGTGTGAATTTATTAATATGGTTAATACTATTGGCGGATTGAAACTAAAATTTAGTGTTACCAGAATTACATACACACTTTTTACGAAAAAAATCCTGTAAGGCCAGAAATTGACCTGGAAGAACTAGAAAATTAGCTAAAGGAAGTGGAAAACTACAAAATGGTGGTAAGTAATTAACAAAAATATATTTAAACTTTCACTAAACATAATAATCATTTATGTAACTCTTGTTTTTGTTAGTGAAATGCCATGTATAATTTTTAATGTTTCACGTTTGACAAAAATATTCCATTAGCTATGATCAGTTAATTTGTATATGTACCAAGTTTGTTGATTTTTTTTAATTTTTTAGATTGAATAGATATCCAATGGAATCAAGCAAATGAAACTCAAGCAATTTATACAATGAAATATTGGTTGGTTAAGGCCAAAGAAAGAATTTGTATTAAAAATAAGAATAAGTATGAATTTTTTGAAATAAAGATTTTATTATGTACACTTATTCTTTATTGTTCAATATTAATGAAACATCCTGTATTAGGGTGTCCAGTATATGCCTAGAATATTCTATATTTAAGTACTAAGCATATACTTAGAACGTACTATCAAATTAAAGTAGATACCTATTGCATACTGTACACATACTGGAGTACATTCTCAGCATCTGCATAGCACGTATAAACAACGTCACGTAGCATATTCTTGGTATATTTTGAGAATGTTCCAAATGCAAATAAAGTATATTATCAGCATATGCACATTCTTAAGAAGCATATACTGAGAATATGCTAAGAATTCATAATTGTTATCTGGGTAGGGTTTCTTCCCCAGAGTTGTCGCATGGACTTAGATGGCTATGCTAACATATGGTGCAGTTATCTGGGTACCGAAAACCCAAAAATTAACAGATATCGGTAAACTAGAACAAATTCAAAGAACAGCTCAACATAACAGGAGCCATGAAAACAACACCGACCAAAGCGATGGAAGTCATTCTTAGACTCACTCCCCTTGATATTTACATCAAGGAGGTTGCTCTGACGACAGTGACACACCTCCGCACGGTTGGAATAGAACCTGATGTAGGATCTGCTGAGGCGAGACCTCATTTTTGGCAGGAGTCGCTCAATACGCTCCCACTGCTTCAAGCGAACATGAACTCCATCTCACTAAGATATATCTTCCATAAGCCCTATAAAGTTATATTAAAACAAATAGAAGAGCCAGAAGTCACAGGTACGATTCATATCTACACCGATGGTTCTAAAACAAAACAAGGCTCAGGATGTGGAATATACTCCAGATTCTTAAACCTAAACATAAAATGGGCTGTGAGCAATAGTGCCAGTGTAGTTCAAACAAAGCAGCAAAAGAAATACCCAAAAACAATATCACTGGAAGGAACATGCTCATTTATACAGATAGCAGACACGTACTACTCACCCCAAACAGACCACGAATTTATTCAGGGTTAGTACTAAAATGTCACGAAGCTTTGGCCAAAGTATCCATCAACAATGTGGTCACCTTAAGATGAATCAAAGGTCACGCTATATCGAAAGGTAACCGTCTTGCTGATTCACTAGCCAAGCAAGCAGCAAACTAAATACTTTTTGGACCTGGCCCTTCTATTGGCCTGACAAAATTGGTAGTGACAGACCTAATAAAAGAAAAGTCCCTTGTGATTCAAGGAAAGATGGGATGAAACAAGAAACTGCAGAGTTGCCAGGGAGCTCTTTAGTTATCCTGACAACACTGCAGCAAACAAATACTTGACTATGAATAGACAGAATATACGCCTAGTCACAGGCATTCTGACTGGTCATTGTCATGGGGCTGTCAGAATTCGCACTCTGCAGAGGGTGCAAACAAGAAGATGAGACCATCGAGCGTATCCTTTACGATTGCTCGACGTTCTCATTTATTAGAAGATTTGTGTTCAGCGAGTATCGGCTAACACCGGCAGCACCTCTTGGCGACGTTAAATCTGTAGGCTGGCTCACGAGCTAGGAGGTGCCTATCATCTTAGGAGGATGCACAATGGGCCTAATGAGGCCTACGTGCCGTGAAGGTAATCCACCCTTCACACATTACAGATACAGATACAGAACATCTCAAATCATAATTCTACAAAATTTAAACAGCTATTCACAATTTAATAAACTATTTACACAAAATTGACATAAGTATCTATAAAATAATTTTCTACACCAATGTTTAGCGTTCACTTAGGTTAGCTTCGTCGCGAAACTGTCAAATCATGTGTATGAAGTGGGAGAACTGCGAATGGCCTTTTCAACTTCTGCCTCTGTCATAATAACAAAAAAAAAGTAAATGTTGCTTTTGAAAAAATAATTGGCGGAACGCCAACTAGTTCAAAATTTCAACAGGTTTGTTTCTTGCAAGCAAATTAATAATAAATTAAAATGTTTGTTATAAAATGAAAGTTAACCTGACCCAACCAGGCTTTAAGCTTACTTACTACTGCAACAAATAAGCGTGCACTAACTTATACTAGTTAATATGCCAATAGATTAATAAAAATGTCCCTTACTACGCAAAATCTTCAAAAACAATGTTAAAAATACGTCAGCAGTGCGTACGCACACTCGTCAACCATTCATGTTAATTATAAATAGCGCATTACCTACCACGACCAAGAGGTCGCGAAGGCCAAGGAAAACCTGTCTGCAGATGGCTAGTAAATGATAGGTAACGCACTGACGACGGGCATAAATAAGGAAGCTGCTACTTGCCCGATATCTATTTTTTAACTAAAAAATTTGTTGGAGGACCTGGCCTTCGCAACCAAGACATATTTGCGACAGTGCATGTACGCTCATACGCACATAGGGCGACCAGGTCGCGAAAGCCAGGTTGTCGCGACCAAGACACCATAAACGACAGTGATCGCATTCAATATCAAGTATGTATAACCTTTATAACAATTACCTCAATACAGGATACTTCCCAAAGAAGTGGAAAATGGCTGACATGGTCTGGCTATAAAAAAAAAACCTAACGACAAACGACCAATATGCCTACTTTCGACACTGCGTAAAGTTCTGGACAAAATGACAGCTAAGCGACTCACACACCACCTTGAATCGACTAACAAAATTGACAGCAAACAATACGGCTTTAGAGAGGGCAGAACAACAGACGCAATACAAAACATAGTGGACAAAATAAATCAAAACAACCAAAAGACACTCTCTAGTCGCAAAACTGGACATGAGCAACGCTTTCAACGCAACAAAAGACTTATAGACACACAAACACCAGCCAAAATAACTAACCTTTGCACGGACTTCCTATAAAATCAACAAATACAGGCACAAGACATCACAAAAGACGTAGGGCTGCCCACAAGGGTTTAGCTTGGGACCGATATTATGGACCTTACTAATGGGCAACAATGGAATTGACAAACAGACTGGACGAAAACGACCTGGTCCAATCCTTTGCTTAAGACCAAATCGTGATTCTATTAGGTACGTCACTAAATGGGGACACATTTGGAAAGCCTGCGAGGCAAGGTGGTACGACTAAGACGATAACCGACAGTCTGGTTTATCTTGGAGTGATCCTGGATGTCGGATCGCTTTGGATCGAGCATATTAGGAAAACCAGACAGAAAGCCCTGGACATATTTAACACACTCTTTTATATAGCGGGCCGTAATTGAAACCTGAAATACTTAGATGTATCTTCATAAACGCAATCAAGCCAATGATATTGTACGGGGCCGAAATATGGGGACACAGACATGCGGACTTCCGAGTGATACATTTTCAGGCGACAGAGACCTTTCCTGCTTTTCATCGCCAAAGCGTACCGAGTAACACCCCTACAGGTCGATGCTAGGACGGATTGGGAAGCATACAACACGATTAAACAATCCCTCAAAACATACAGTACAAAAACATCAGACAAAGTACACCCAGCAATTAGACAAATACTTATCAACCCGACGGACACTCCAAGTAAATACACCGTATGCACAGACGCCTCACAAAAAAAAAACTTTAACTATATAGGACTTATTTTATGGGACAGACCGACTAAGATAGGGACAAAAAGATAGAATGCAAAGACATAAATACACTAGATCCATTCGGGACATACTTAGCTCTGGACTATCTTAGACAACACTTAGAACCCCTTTAGGACACAAACATGGACGGTAAAATGCATACAGACTCAAAAAACACGATAAAAAACATACAAAACTATCAATAAAATAATACTAAGACTACAAACTTATGACCAAAACATTCAAAGACAGATACAGCAGACTTAATTTCAGATTGACAAGCGGATTGGAGACCAGGATAAAGGAAAAACACAAAACAGCACAAGACGAGCACCTACAAATAATAGAGATCAATGTCGACAACAAAAAGACACTAAAAAAACTTACTGCTATAAGATGAAGTAAATAAATTTGTTTGTGAAACCTTTAGATACATTCCAAGTTATTAAAATAATTAAATTTCACTAAAACCATGAGGGTAATTGAGTCCTATCAAATGTACCTTTTTTGTAATAAATTAGTTACGCAATCCAAATTTCAAACTCAACCTCCTTTTTTCCATTGACGTAGAAATTTTAAATATGTAATTATTGAACAAATTATGCTAATATTTTCGATTAAGTTTTCTTTATCAAATTCTTTTAGCTTACCAAATTCAAGCAGAATCGCATAAGCCGTTTTAAATTTGTAATGAATAAAGAAATGTAACTTCAGAGCCATCTAGACTCCAACTTTGAACTGAGGTAAGTTTTACAGGCATCCTGTATAATAATAATTTTTGATTTGCAGATTAATGAGGGCTCCAACAATAGAGGGATACGCTGCCAGACACAGTAAGTTATCGAAAAGCGTGACCTTTAACAGGGATACTCTACAGAGTCCTCCGAATAGCGCGACGTTGACAGGCGAGACTCAGCAAAATTTATTTCCCATCGTTGGTACACCTTTAGATAATTGTTTGGACGAACCGGAACAGAACAACCAAATAGAAATAGAAAACCAGATCGTGCCTAATAAAGCGAATCACCAAGTTAAACTTCACAAAGGTACTTAATTAACTGATTAATTACAATAGTTTATATCTTTACGAATATATTTAAAACTGCCTATTTTGTCTTTTAAAAAACTGTTTTTATTTGATTATATAAAATTATCTAAGATAAATCTTTAAACAAATTTTAGAAAACAAATAACATTACCACTTCTATATTTTAGTAATATAAAACAACGTTAAACTGCCGCAGTATAAATAATATCAATAAATATTAAATATTCTATGGTAAATGTTATCCAGATGCTAATGCAATAAAATAAAACGAATTTTTCTAATCTTTAACTCAGAATAATGGATTATTCTAACTTAGAACTCTTAAAAATAGGTCTCTGATTTACAAATGGAAAAGTCAATTTTTTAGACTTTTAACTCAGAATAATAGATTATACTCAGACAAGGAGTTGGATATTATTTGTCCTTTTCCATCGCAACCTTTTTAGATCCATTGTGGGACTACGTTATTTTAGAGTTTGTCGTCTAGCTTGGTCTTTTTTATTTGACTGGCTTTTCTTCACCTAGTGTTAGAAACCTCCATCTAGCCATGCTTTCACACTGGTACAGGATGTAGATTAATGATTTCTCTTGTTCTTCATAGATCCTGCACAATGTTGCTTCTTCTGTTGGATTGATGACACTCACGTGCCTTCTTTGGTGACAGGTAAATAGGTCTTTCGTGAACCGATAATTCCTTAATGAACTTTTTGGCTAGTCTCAATCCTGACTAGTTGTTCCAATATTTCTGAGACTCTTCCTGCATCCATTGTTCGATGGATGCCTTGCAGACAAGGGCGGATCCAGCCTTTTAGTCAGGGGGTGGTCACGTCAGACCATCAGAGGCGTATCAAGGTGGAGAGGGCATTTGCCCTCTCCCAAAGATAAAAAAGAAAACGTAAAAAAGCCAAAAATATTTACTCAAAAAATCTATTAATATCAATTTATTTGATATATAACTTATAACAACTTATAAGATCAACAATTTAATACTAACTTCAAATTAAATAACGAAATAAATTTTTCTCTTCTGCCTTCTCGCGAAACGATTAATTACTTCTTCCACATCAACAGGAACATTTTTATGAATGTGGAGAAGCGCCAATCCTGTTAAACGGTGCCATTGATGCTCTTAACCAAGTTTTCAGCCTCCTAAGTGTAGAGAAGGACCTCTTTGCTGTCGCTATACTGACTGGTAGTGTAGCAAGAATACACAAAAGCTTTTTTATGTTAGGATACATATCACTATCGCAATGCATTATCAGATCAGAAATCTTCTGCGGTATAGCCTGATCTCGTTTCTATTTTTCTGTCCACAGCCGATATTCGCTGATTATGACAGGTATGATTAGCATTTGGAATGAACACGCCAAGTGAGAATAAATCAAGTACCTCTGGAGATAACCGCTCTTGCAGATCATTTAATATGGAGTCTAGAAGAGGGATGTAGACGGTCTTGCGAAAATACTCCTCGGCTGATTGAGCTGGTTGATTTTTAGCTCTGTGTACTTGTCTTGACACTAATATGGGGCATTTTATTTCAACGTCAAGTTGTTCGGCTAATTCTTTTGCTTCATCAAAAAGTTGCTGAAACACTGTTTTTACTTGTTCCCTTTTTCGTCTTATAACACTCATTGTATCTTTTATAGCCTCTGTATCCCTCTTTAAATCAATCGAGCTGGTTTGTAATACTCTTCTCAAGGATACAGTTGTACCTAAAAAAAAATAGTTATAATAAACTAAAATGTTAGCACGCTTAAATCGCTGTATACCTACCTAAAACATCACTCAAGCAAATAGATGATATTATAAAGTCTGAACTGCGCAATGTTTGCAACAAGCAATGCGCGTCATTAGCAGTATTGTTGTCTTGCCAAGTAGAAATTTTTTCTAGAGCGCTACAAATTTTTACTAAGTTGTCACCTTGATATTGTAGATGGCCATCATACCGCTCAACCCACCGCGTCTTACAGATACCCTGCATTGTAGCTCCAAACTCTTTTTCAAAAATGTTATGCCTTTTAGCGGAAGCGTTGGCAAATGCCACAACTTTTCTCATTGTGCTTGAAGTATTATGGCAAGAAGTTACTTTGGATGACATAACTAACGAGTTATTAAGAACATGATTGCTGCATGGGCAACGTTTGGCATGTACAGCTTTATAGTACAATTATGAGGATATCTAAATGAAAGGCTCAGCTGCGAGATATGTGATAGGTCTGTTGTTTCATCGAATAAAATTGAAAAGTACTTAGCAGCTTCACATTCTGTAAAATATTTTCCTGAATAATTTCTTTGCAAACATCAATCAACTCATTTTGCACAGTTTTGCTAATGTATATGTTGCATTCGACTTACAAGTCTCTAAATGATGTTGCAATGCTTTGTCACCAGATTCTATACGGAATTTCAAGAGTGCTCTAAAATTTCCTTCATCAGCTACCATGCTGTTATTACCTGCTTCCACATCCAATAAATTTCCATCGTCGCGATGGCCACGTAAAGATATATTTTGAAGACTACAAAAAATTATCGTTTTTACAATAGGTCGTAATAGTTCCCTATTTTCATTAACTTGTGTCATTCTTTGGCTTTTTATTTGGTTAATAATATTAAGTTCAGATTTGTAAAAAGTTGTTAAAAAGATTTTTACACTTTTGACAGCTATTTGATGGTACTGATTTCGCTGGTGAGTTAGCAACACACCATTTTCACCAAGGAAATCATCAAAAGCTTTTAATGTTTCTTTGACGAGACATTTTAGAGATGTTTTTGACCGAATGGTACCTTCGAGTGTCTCTGCAAATAAAACACAATATTTTCAATAAAGATCCTGATCTTTATGCGATAAAACAAGCCAGTGAAACTTATCAAGAAGTGACTTATGTGCATATTTCTTTGTTTTTTTTTTGTCTTTTTGGTAACAACGCAGTGTGGAAAAATATAATTTGGGGGTGGCAACCAATGTTGCTCAAGCAACATAGCTCTTGTTGAATCGTCTAAATTTTTTCCTACATACCGTCCAATATCTAAGGAAAATTTTGATTGAAAAAGCGAATTGTTTATTTGATAAGAATAGGAAGTAAACGTAAACGATACCGACATGCATTGAACATCATCAGCAGAAGCACATTTGTTTTCTTCTTCTAAGGTTAATTTTATCGATGGAGCATCGGCAGTACACACATTATCAATATTATCATATATGTTAGTGGTTACTATAGGTATATTTTTCGGATGTTTATCAATCTCAAGCCTTGGTTTTTTATATAAAAAATATATCTATCTTTCTAAATAAACCACTGGCACTATAGTCCAGTAACTGAAGGGACCAACCTGTCATTAAGTCGGTCCAGATTTCCGTTGTGGCTTAACTCTTAGGTCTCGGCGGTCGCTTCCAAGGTCGAAAACTTTTACCAACTCTGCTGCGTCGGAAAGGGCCCAAAATGGACCCTAAAACTGGCTTCCCGCCAATAACTTCCACAATATGCAAATTAGAGAATTTTTGTTTAAATAAAAAAGAAGGATCTTATCATTATCTACCAAAATGGTTTCAATCATTTTTGTCGGGAATTCGACAGGTTTCGACCGTTCAGCCCCTGCTTTATCTCTATAGCAATGCTGATTAGCTTGTAAACGGGTGGACAAATTGTTTCAGAACTCGGTCAAAAATTGATATTTTTAGATGATTCAAAGTTTATTACAATGGGAAAACCCATAGGTATCGATACATGTGCCTTGAAGCCCATTATTCTCTGTCAAAAACATTGAAAAAGGGGTCAAACTTGCGTTTTCCTACTATTTTGGACCACTTTATAGTAATTCATTAATATTTTTTTTTCTTTTAATAGTTTTTTATCCCATTTTTGTTTTAAATGGGATCTTGAGATGTCTCGAATGATATCAGAAATTTTTTTCCAGTATCTTCCTGGCGTTTAAAATTGCATTTTTCATACGTTTTCGGAGTTCTAGAAATCTTTGAAACAAGCAGTAATTAAAAACTCATATTTCATCATATTGTTATTCAATGCACACCATTTTAAAGCTTAGAGTGTCTACTTTTTAAATGTATTTTTTTTTTAATAAAGTTGCTCCATTTTCCAGAAATCGGGAAAATTGATCATACCCGGGAAAACCGGACTTTTTTTTTAAATACTTCTTGTTCCCCGCTGTTCATTTTTTGAACATTATTACCCAGACCGAAGTGAAGCTGATATTCTCACCTTTCCATTTCTATTAATTGATCTCCGTATGTGAGCGTGGTTCTTAACTGTTTGTTAGAATTATCTCCCCCATTTTTACGCTCTCCGCCTGAGATCTATGATATTCCATCATAACCTAACCACGTGTACCCACGCGCCACGCGCTCACCTTAATCGTCTGCTTTTGTTGGTATACAATCTCTGTTGTTTTTGGAGTCGTTATTGTCGGTTAGTATATATTTCTTTCGTATATTTGAAGAAAATTCACAATTCTGGGTTCGAGTAGTACAATAATAAACAATGATTACTTTTCTTTTCTATATTTAACACAAATGAGTTAAAGTAAAATATATATCGACGATTTGGGGTTGAGGTAAGTCTTTTGTTGCTATATCTATCATATAATTATTTCTACTAATGTTATTTTTTTTTTTTTAGGATAAAACAAACATAAAAAAGAAAGCCCTTTAGATACAGAGCTTTTAGCGGCACTTCTAGAAGATTTGCTTTACAAAGTGAGTGTAAATTACCAGAAAAATTTATAAAATTAAGTTTAAAAGGGATCCGGGCCCCCTGGAACTTTTGAAGATGATTTTTTGTCAGTGCAAAACAGGCTGCGAGAAGAATTGTTCATGTTTGAAAGCCGGACTGAAATGCTCGCCTGTCTGTGGTTCGTGTCAGTCGACACAGTGTTTTAATTATAACAAAAATGAAGGTATTTTCCCGGAAGAATTAGAGATGGATCGACCCAGAAGGGGTTGAAGGGGAGGAGGATGAAATAGTTGTCGAGACAGTAACACAGAGGTTGGAAAAAGATGGGGAAGGGACGCGTGGAGGAGGGGAAGGAATAGAGTAAGAGCAAGACGATGAAGAGTATGATTCTGATGACATTGAATGGTTTAACGTATGATAAATTATAAGCATTGCTATGTATTTCGTATTTTCAACGTGTTTTTCATAATAAAAGAAATTTATCAGAAACTTTCTTATTTTTCTGAAACCCTTTACCTATATTGTTCCGATAGAAGTTGGCGAAAATTTTGCAAAAGACGCAAAAAATATAAAGGGTCTTCTCAAGTCAATATTCATCACACTCTAAAACTAATAACCCACTATTTGGCAAAGCGCCGGGATTTGAGACTACCACATATAAAAAAAATTTTTTGCACTTTTCTATTAACTTTTGCAACGCAAATTACACAGAACATTCGGCAATATAGATGAGATACCCCAAGCGCTACTTTACAGAAAAAATCCCGTAGAATCCGCCAATAATTGTCGAAAGATCGATTGGTGCCCGGATTTCCATTTATAGGCCCCACAATTTAGTGAGCAGAGGTATGCCGCTGGCGCCATCTACAGTTGGACTTCAAAGTCCAAAACATGAAAATCAATGTATTCCTAACTCCCTCGAGCGGAAATTCAATGAGAAACTAACATTTCAACATATTCAGTGCAAAAATTCGGGCTTTTTCGAAGGCCGTTTTTGCAAAAAATATTCGTCTTGCGAAAAAAATGGTAGGGACCATTTTTTTAGATAATGATACGATCTTCATTTTTTATCTAAACAAAAATTGTCTTATTTGTATATTTTGGCAAATATTAGCGGGAAACCATTTTTTCGGACTTTAGGGGCCATTTTGAGCCCTTTCCGACCCAGCAGTGTTGGTAAAAGTTTTTGCCCTTGAAAGCAACCGTCAAGACCTAGGAATTGAGTCACAAAGGAAATCTGGACCGACTTAATGACAGCTTTGCATATTTTTAGGTCTTCAGTTACTGAACTACTACATGCATTGTGCTTCATTTTTGAGCTACCACTACTACTACTACCACTACCACCACCACTATATTTTTCGTTAGAGTCACCCTGTAGGCAAAAATACCAATGTATAACTAAGCAAAAATGGCAGCACTTAAATAAATACATCAGTTTAGTTTCAGTAGGTACTATTCTGAAGTTTGTGTTAGAAATAAAAAAAATGCATTCAAGAAAAAACATGTTTTAAATGTTATTGAAAAGATTGAATATTTAAAATGTTGCTTATTGCTTTTAAACGAAACACTTAACATCTCCAGCAAGACAAGTTAAATGAAACAACTTTTAAGAACTCTTCTAGTCAGCTTCTATTTCATAAAGTACATAATGCAACCTGCAATCACGTTAAACAAGCGCGAAGACTATGAGCAGAATGGCTGAATCACAGAGCTGAACTGACCTTCAACCTGCCGGATTGGTTGATCTCGACATAGATTAGGGGTGAGATAACATTGCTTTGAATTGTGACGTCATCAATCATCGAACGATTGGCCGTGAACTAATAGAGATAGGAGATTAGATGGAGATGGCATGACCGGACGGGCTGACGGACAACACGACGCCGTAAAACTACAGCGTTTTTAATTGGTAGAAAGTAGATACTTAAAAAATATGATCAGATGTAAGCCTCCCAGGGGGGAAGGGGGGTGTTATGACCCCCATGACTCCCCTGGATCCATCCTTTTTGGGATAGTTCGTCGGCCTTTTCCATTGCCCTGATATCTTTCTTAGCCTGTTACCGGGGCTATGGTCACTTTGTTTTGACTACTTATATACAAATAGTTTTTTTCGATTTTCAACTCGGAATTGCCGAGTTTTCAGACGTGTAACTCAAAATAATAGATTATTTTGATCAATAACTTAAAAAAATTGATTTTTCTGATCCCTTGCTCAGAATAATGGGTTATTCCAACTTATTACTCATAAAAATAGATTTTTTCCACTTATAACTCGGATAAGTTGATTTATCAGACTTGTAGCTCAGAATAATGGATTATTTTGACCATAAAATCTATTTTCTGGCCTGTAATTCACAATAACAGATTATTCTAATTTAGAACTCATAAAAACAGTGTTTCCCTACATACAACTCGGAAAAGTCAAATTTTTTTGACTGATAACTGAGAATAATAGATTATGCCGATTTAGAATTTACAAAAATAGGCTTTTTTTGACTTTCAACTCAAATAATAGATTTTGTTACTTAAAATCATAAATTATTCCGATTTAGAACTCACAAAAATGCAACACAGTTTGATTTATGTGTTATGTATTCTACACAGTTTTCTAAAATCAAGTTTTGTAATTTGTCACATTCTCTGACTCTCGATTTTTTCGGTAGCAATTTTTTTACAATTTTAAAAGTTTTATGCATTTTTAGTTTTTAAATTTGACAGCATTTCCCTAGCAATGATAATGTCTGCTATGATAAAATAATACTGAAACTGAATTTTTTGTTCGTTTCTTTAATATTTAATTGTAGATTAACGAACAAATATGTCACAAAAGTTATACATTAATAACTATTGAGTTACTCTTCTACCCCTTTTTAATTTGGTATTCGTATATTAACAGTGATTTGCAATATTTAGGTTCCTTAGAAGACGAACAGCAATATTTCGCGGACATCTTGATGGCCATTAAGCAAGTAATGAGCGCTCATCTCCACGAGATACAGGGAAAGTACCAGCAAAAATTCGAAAAGTTGGAGGAGGAAGTCAGGACTAAAGACGAAATTATTACGCAACTCCAAGCACATATCTCTGAGTTGGAGCAAGCCAACGAAGATTCCTTTACTCCGAGCGTAAGATCCTTTTTTGAAATTTTTTAATCAAAATGTTAAATCTTTCTTAAATAGATTTTTTTAACTCATAACAATAAAAAATCAATTTTTGCAGACTTACAACTTGGAAAAGTCAATTTTTCTGTCTTGAAACTGAAAATAATAAATAATACGACTACGAAACTCAAAAAATTCACTATTTTGAGTTTCAACTCAAAAAATAAATATTTCCAAATAACACCTCGAAAAAACATATTTTTTCTACTATTGTGCGTAAAGTACGTACTTTACGCAATCCACGAAATGTGTAAAGTTGTACTTTTTTTCACTAGTGCGTAAAGTAAAACTCTTTACGCACTAGTTAAAAAAAGTAAAATTTGACAAAATTTGTACATAACAACGAAATATAACGTTTTATTTTATATTAACATTTTTTTGCTATCTCCTTCTAAGACAAATAAATAAATAAATTATTTTTGCTTATATCTATTTAGTGTCCAACAAATTATCAACAGTTTATTTTAATTATAATTTTCTCTAAATGTCATCGATTTAATTAAAAGTAAACAAACAGTGGATGTCGATTTTGGTAAAAGTAAGTTGGCCGTGGCTGTGTGGATTAGAAGAACTGTCAATCTCTAAACTTTTAATTAGTACCTACCTTATAACAGAACACGGCGAAAGTATACTTAAGTTCAAGATTATATTCTAAAGCCAATTTAGCATTTTTTTAAACTCAATAAAGTTTGAGAAGGTAAAAAGTTTTACTTTTTAATGTTTGTTTACTTAAATTCAAATTTTATTTGCAGTTTATTATATCTGTCATAATCGATATGGATTCAAATTTATCTAGCGATAGCGAATTTGATAATACTCCCCCAGATATCTTATGCAGTGCTCAAAAGGCCACTGAAAATTTATTGCCAGAAAAATCTGCATATATTTATCAGCAAAAATACAATGCATTTATAGAATGGTGTAGGAAGAATAAGGTGACAAAATATTCGGAAAACATTATTTTAGCATATTTCTCTGATGAATTGAAGAATTGCAAAGCTTCTACCCTATGGTCGATTTATTCTATGCTTAAAAGCACCTTAAAATATAAAAACAACGTTGATATTTCGAAATTCAACAAGTTAATAGCGTTTCTCAAACAAAAAAATAAAGATTATAAGCCAAAAAAATTCAAAATTTTTGAACGAGAAGATCTAATTAATTTTCTGTTGAAAGCTCCAGATTCCAAGTTTTTAATAATCAAAGTAAGTAAATGCCTCAGTAAATGCTTGAATGCTCAGTATAAAATTAAAATATTCTGTAAAGTTTTGCAACGAGATGTGTGTTCGTATGGTGTGTTGCCTAACAAAATCAGTTGCTGTCCTAACAGACCACCGGGGTTGTTAGGCAGCACATTATACCTAAGACTTTTATATTTTTTACAATAGCATTTATTTGGAGTTTTACATGCGCAACGTCAAGATATTTCATAATGTTTAATAAATTATTTGTAACATTACAATATGTTATTTTTTAGGTAGCTTTTATAATTGGAATTGCGGGAGCTTGTTGGCGGGAAGAATTATGTAAAATGACAATTAACGATGTGGAAGATAAACAAACAGTGTATATTGTCAAAGTATCAGAAACCAAAAATGGAATAGAACGCATTTTTACGATTTTAAATCCAAATAATTCTGCAGTTGATTATTTATCTTTCATAAAAAAATATACCATTAAGACCATCAAATATAAATTGTAACAGATTTTTTTTAAAATTCGCAAATAGAAAATATTCTAAACAGCCTGTAGGGATAAATACTTTTGGTAAAATGCCAAGTGTTATAGCAACGTATCTAAACTTGCCCAATCCAACGGCTTTTACAGGACACTGCTTTAGGAGGTCTTCAGCCACTATGCTGGCAAATTCTGGAGGAGACCTTCTAACGGTCAAAAAACATTGAGGATGGAAATCATCTGCTGTTGCAGAAGGCTACGTAGACAGCACAATAACACAAAAAAACAAAATTTCTAATAAAATTTTGATGGATGACAGTATGCCATCCACTTCCAAACAAAGCTACAATTTTACCGTTGACAACTCTAATGAAGAATTAGTGGAACCACTCGACAGTGAAACTAGAGTTACACAAAATATTTCAACCTCTTTACTTGAAAAGGCCAAATTCATATCATTCGAAGCCCAAAATAGGGTTACAGAAGTAATATCACAATATTTTTCAAACTCTGTGCTGGAAAAGGCCAAAACCTTAAGTTTTGGTAATTGCAATAATTGCACATTTAATATTAATATTCATAAGAGTTAAAAACCTATTTTTTAAAAATATTTCTTCATTTGTTAGTCATTTTGTTCTGTAAGAATTATAAATTTGTAAAGTTCCAATAAATTTATTTTTGTTGCTGTGTACAATTTTTGGCACATTTTACTTTTTTTCACTAGTGCGTAAAGTAAAGTACTTTTTTTCACTAGTGAAAAAAGTAACTTTTATATTTCTAATATTAGTGGATTATGTGTACGGTATTAGAAAAAACATTGTATGCCACTCGTGTGTAAAGTCCCTTTTTTGACTCATGTGATTCGTCAAAAAAGGGTAACTTTACACACTTGTTGTATAAATAACTATTTTTCTACTATCGTGCGTAAAATACATACTTTCACTAGTGGGTAAAGTAAAAAACAGTTATTTTAGTAAAAAAAAGTAACTTTAATATTTCTTATATTAGTAGATAATGTGTACGGTAGTAGAAATAACTATTGTGTCTTGAAACTCAAAATAATATATTATTCTGACTAGAAACTCAGCAAAATAGATTTCTAGAATTGTAGCTCCGAATAATAGATAATTATGACTTAGAACTCAGAAAATAATATTTTTGGTGATTTTAGGATTCCCTAGATACGGTAATTAGTAGAGAAAGGCAATCTTGGGAGGATCCATCCCACGACGAACAAGAAGAATTAGAAGAACTACCCCGTCCAATTCATGCATGGTCTTCTTCTTCTTCCCTTCCTCCGCATAATGTAGTTTTGGACATCGACTCAACGACAGGTAAATTATTTTAGGTTCTATTATAGCTTGTATTTAAATTCCATTTAATGGACAAATCCAAAACGTTGTCAAAAATTGGCTGATATTTTCGGAAACAAATTATTTTACAATAATTTGGCGCCCAACGTGGGGCTTGAAAAATTTTTGTACGGAAAAAGAGATACAAATTCGTGTTAATAATAACGAATTTAAATATATATGACATTGTATATATGTTTAGATACCGAATCGAATGCAGGAGAGACATCGGAACCCGAAGAGACCGAAGACGATGACGGCGAATACGAAAACTCGAGCAAAAATTGGGAAATTGAACTGTTGGCAGCACAAATGCGGGAACGGCGGTCCGCCAGCTTAGATCAAACGTCCGGCAGACCGTTTCTGAAGAAACGTTTCGTCAAGGGCTCGTCAATGGACCACGATTGATATTTAGTTTTATTGTATCGTGATAAGTATCTATTAATGACACGGTTCATTTTCGTTAAAGACAAACAAAAAAAACACCACAAAGTCGTAGAATAAGTCGGAATTTTTGTGATTTTTATTTTTTCCATTTTTGTATAATAAAATGATTGTAAATGCGATAAGAAATGAAATTGGGACGGTATTCGATAAAATTGGTACAAAAACGTTATAGAATCGATAAAATAGATAAAAAAACGATAAGAACAAATTAATGATAAAAAAACTACAAAAATGTCAAAAAAGTCAGAAATCGAGACACCAATGGAAATAAAATTACATCATAATAATTTTATCAATATCCATTTTTCATACTTTTTAAGAAATTTAAACAAATTGTACGGAATCGTAGAAAGACCGTAAAATATGTTTTTCTCACAAATTTTTAAAATAATACTTGCAACTCAAAATAATATATTATTTTGAGAATGATTTTCCTGACTCGTAACTCAGAAATATAGAATTTTTCGATTTACAACTAAGATAAATAAAGAAATCGATTTTTCTAACTTGAAAATCAATATAATAAGTTATTTCGACTTAGAACTCAGATAAATTAATGTTTTACCTCAAATTCAGAAAAATAGTTCATTACCACTAAGAATCTCAAAAAAATCGATTTTTCTGATTTGTAAGTATAAGAGGTTATTTCGAATTTTGACTTAGAACTCAGAAAAATCCATTTTTCTGACTTGATATTATGTTATCTTATGTTGAGAAGAATAAAATATTCTGACTTGAACTCAGAAAAATAGATTATTGCGACTTAAAAACTCAGAGAGTAATTTTTTTCTTGACACTCAAAAAAATAGTTTATTACGACTAAGAAACTAAAAAATAATAAATTTTTCTAATTTGAAACTCCTGAAAAATAGATTTTTGTGATTTGATAATCAGAATAATAAATTATTCTTGGAAATAAAAAAAAAATTATTTCGTGAAAACATTATTATTCTGGTTTGAAACTCATAAAAATAGATTATTACAACTTAGAACTCTAAGAAATCGATTTTTCATTTGCAATTCAAAATATGACGATATTTTGACGTGGAACTCAAAAAAATTTAATTTTCTGATTTGTTATTAAAAATATCAGATTATTCTGACATGGAATCACATAAATTGATTTTTCTGTCTTGTAACTCTGAATAATAGATTATTCCTACTTCGAACTGAGAAAAATCGATTTTCCTTTAGCTGTAACTCAAAATATTAGATTATCTCAAGATAGAATTCAGAAAAATAGATTTTTTTAAGTTGTAACCTAAAAAATGTATTTTTTTGACATTTAACTCGGAACAATCACTTTTTTTTATTTGTAAGTATATTATTCTGATTTAGAAATCAGAAAAATATATTTTTCGAAATTGTATCTCAGAAAAATTGATTTTTTTCACGTATTCTTTGTAAAATCGATTTTTATGACTTGTAACTGATAATAATTAGGAATGTGCACGAGCTTTATCGAGCAGGCTCGACCGGAGCTCCGAACAGTACGACCAGTCGAGCGGCTCCTGTATAATATTCGGCTCGAGCGCCTCGCGTATCGGCTCGGCTCGAGCCTCGAACGATCCGAGTGTTCCGTACTCCGAATCATTCGAACTCTCGGTAATAAACTTATCATCAAGTAACTTCTCCATACCTAATCGCATATTATTTAATAAAATTAATAAAACCTCGATCGCCCCTTAGTGTGACTCTGTAAAAGCAGCCTCGTCAGAGAGATCACGTGTATAGTCCATACAAACAATAAGTCAACTACAAAGAAATACCGATAATGGAAAAAAAAGTTCGGCTTCCGTTTGAAGATGCTTCAAAAAAAAAATTCACTAAATATTATGTATGAATACATCTAAAAAGGAGTCTCTACCAGGAGTATGTCATTATTATGCCCCTGGACGATAGTAATACACTTATTTTAATACTAAAAATTATTAACTCAACTCCGAATTGGAATATAGTAGTCCAGTTTATTATTTCTCTCTACGTCGCTGAAATGAACTGATAACCTGTGTAGACAGACTGGAATATCGTGTCGTGCAGCATTGTAGTCAAAAGTATCCGCAAAGTAAGAAGAAGCCAGTGTCGTCGCATCGTTAAGTCAGTTTATTATTTAATTTAATTGGTTGGAGTATTTTAAACATTAATTATTACCATATATTTCAATTTTTACGATTTATTATATAAAATAGATGTAATAAATAATTTTACAAAGCGAAAAATAGATTAATAATCAATCAATTTGAGGATTCGATTATGAACAATATACCTACAAGTAGAAATATAGGTACTGCGTTCCAAGTATATGATACAAAATTAAAAACTGATATAAATATATACCAAATGCAAAGTGTCTATTGAAATTATCGACTGTCGGTATATAATTTTTTTCAGAAAAATAAAATGCCGTCTCTGGAATAAATATTTTAATTAATGCATTTCCAATTCTTTCGAAATAAAGGTTTCTTATTTTATATCAATTCTGCATGACATACCTACCTTCTTATAGATATAAATAGGTAGGAAATAATTGACTTAATTGGTTATATTGCAAACATATCTCTACTGGTTGGGTTACTTCCCAAGTGACTTCTCGATTAGTAAACGAATACGAACGTCAACATTTTAATAATTTAGTTATAAAAAATATTTTAAAATTAAAATTACAAAGTAAATGTAGAAATAACCTAAACATAGACCGACTTATAAAATAAAATGTGACTTACATATTGCTGATTTAACTCAGATTTTCTCATTGTTTCCAAATTCCTGCTCCTCGTCTTCCTTCTCCTCGTTATCACTAATTATATCATCGTCGTCGTCATCCTCATTGAGATTTATGATAAATCGTTCTCCATTATTTACGTGTATGCCGCTGTTGTTCCTGTATTCCTCTTCTATTTCATACACATGTTTTATAACTGCTTCCCACTGCGATTTTCCGATCGCATCCATTTGTTCTTTGATCAAGTTGACGATCTGATAATCAAATTTGGGAAATATATTTTTTCTCCGAATATTTTGTTTCAATTGGCTCCAGAGTAACTCTATAGGATTGAAAATACAAAAATATGGTGGTAACCTTAAAACTGTATGACCTCTTTCAGCTGCAATTTCATCAACTATATACTTTTTTTCAAAATTTTTAGTTTTTAGGACTTCCAAAAGTTCATCTTTTTTATATTTTTCATCAAAATACAAATCGTGATTCATTAAAAATTCTTGAATTTCATCTTTCTTAGAGTTTTTATTAGGTATTTTTTCCTTAAGCCTGGAGTGATATGAAGCATTGTCCATAACTATTACACTTTTTGGCTTTAAATTAGGCAACAGTGAATTCGTAAACCATTCTTCAAAAATATCGGAATTCATATTTGAATGGTAATCAATCTGGCAGCTATCAATTTTTTTTCCAATTAATAGTAAGGCATTGTCAACCCAACCGTCCTCTGAGCCACAGTTTAATATTATCAGTCGAGTGCCTTTATTTGGAGGGATACCTAAGGCTTGACAATATTTATTATCGTTTGTCCAGCCCTTTTTTGCAGTATCATGCGAATCATACCACGTTTCATCCAGAAAATAAATTGGCCTGCTTTCATTTTTATATTCACGAATTTTCTGTAAATAAGAATTTCTCCAGTTTACTATTCGTCTTGTTTCCATCACTGCGCTTCTTTTATCTATCGTTTTGTATTTAAAACCGATTTTTTTAGCCAATTATACAATGTAGACTTTTTTATATTTGTATCGAAATAAGTTTCACTTAAGCGTCTATGTATAATATCAAGAGTGGGAATGGTATTTTGTTTATAAAGTTCATACACTGTATTCACAATGGATTTGGCCATGGATGGATCTAATTTTTTTTGCACACCTTTGTCTTCACGGACTTTTCTGCTGGAAATTCCATTTTTTATAATTTGGTTCATTTTATAAACCGATATACCAGTAAGAAACGCTGCTTCTTGCACGGTAGAAGTGTTTTCGATATATCCACGTTTTAACAAATTTTTATAAACATTTAAACAAATTTGCTGGGACTGTTCATTTAAAAAGAGTTTATTTTTTATTTGCGTAGGCACTGCATTAGTTTCTCCATTACTGTTTGATGTACTGGTGCTCGGAATACTATCCCACGGTCTCCACATAGTTAATAACACACAAAAATTATTATTAGTTTATTAAAATTACTATATAACCTCCAAAACACAAACTGATTATTGATAAAACGAAACTAAACACTAATAAAACAGAAACTAATATTCTATAAAATTTTAAAAAGTACGATGCAGGAGCTGTTATCCGTACAAAACTCAACAGGTCACTAAGATGAACAAAACTCCACTGAAAGTAAAAATAATTATTTTTATTCAAATACGTTTCATTTTCCTTTTCGGCATTGGTTCGGCTCTTTAAATGGACAAAGACAATATGCCGACAAAGACAATATGCCGACGAAGGCAATAGCAATAGCGTCAAAGGCGATACACCGCCAAAAACAATATACTTACAGAGGCAGTATACCGACAAAGCTATTCACGCTTCTTGGAGAAAAAATGCAAAATTTTATCAAAAACACTGAAATCGTTGAAGAAAAACATCAGTTATAAATCCTACTTATTTTATTCTTATTAGGTATATATGTATATAAAAAATTACTTTTAAATCTTCAAATCGAAAGAAACATATACCTATAATACGTACATATAATTAAATTATTAAGTAAAAACATATATCTCCGTCTATGGGCGGTCTATCAAAGAGTTAGTTTAGCTGACTTCCGACAAGCAACCCGTTCCCTATACCAATTTTTTTTTTTCGAATTATTCAAACAGGTGCCGAGCTTTTTTTGCGTTTGCGGTATTCCTTTATAGTTGACTTATTGTTTGGATGGACTATACAAGGTGTGATAATGTTTTCGAGCACTCCACTGCAGTGTTGTCAGATGTACGATAATTATCGATTTTGTACGATAAATTTAACGAACGTACGATGTACGATAGTAGCTATGCGATAATGGCATTTTATACGATAATTTACATTTAGAAAAAGAAACTAATGCGAAAACCTATGTAATGATGTATTAATCACAACCCACTATATTTTTAATTTTGCTTAATATATTTTTATGGTTAATGACAAGTCTAAATGGTAAACTGATATAAAAATTTTGATTGTTTTATATTTTTTTGGAATGGGTTCTTCCCAAATTTGTCGACTTAAACAAAAACTTCCAAAGTGAAAAAGTAGTCATTTCACACCTACACAATAAGATGGTTATGTGTTACAGAGATTTCTTAACAGCTTTTATGGAACCAAATTATATTAACAGAACAGACAAGCAAAATTAATCCAACTGATAGCACACACTTTCTTCCAATTACAAACATGTATCTCGGTGTTGGAGTCCTTCAGAAAATAGATTGTTTAGACCAGCGAACTAAAACTCACTTTTTTGAACGCTGCCGTAAATTTTTAATTACGGCTTGTCTGGAAATTAAGAAACGTTATAATTTTGAAGATCCCGTCTTAAGTAAGCTTTCCATTTTAAATATCTAGAATATAAAAAAAGGCAATGAGGCTACACTTTTACCGCTAATAACAT